AACAATTAGCATTAACACTTACTTATCACTTAAAGCAAAATGTTGGCTTAGGGGAGGGGTAGGTGGGCAGTTTTCCAGAAACGTATAATGATCCCAAACATCTATGGTAACACTAAACACTAACCAAATGTTACCTGAAGTAACAAAATAAAACTACCACAGCAGTTATGTTGTGATAGCTTAAGTTCCGTCAATGGCAAGAGACATTCCATTTTTTTGTTGTGGAAGTGGATATGCAATGATACGAATTACTTTTTTGTGCATAATAAAGTAGGGGGTCCGGGGGCATGCTTCCCGAGGAAAATATGAACTTTAAGCTGAACATCAGGTAATGCAGGTTTTGGCAATCTGATAGGTTGTTTGCATTAGGGAGCAAAAGCAATGATGACCGTGACGGCAATGAGAACGGCAAAAAGGCAATAGGTTTTAAGATGGGCAAAACAACAACTTTGCACGTGCATCATGCTTTTTTGTACATTTCTTTGCTGTCACTGCATGACTATGACCAGAAGACGTGAAACTTCCTTTTATAAAAAATTTCACGTTTTATGGAGGAAGGAAACACATTGGCAAAATTGTACCTTTTCTTCCAGAATGGTACAGTTGAACCTCTCTATATGGCCACTTTGGGGACAGAAGGAAGTGGCCGTTCAGGCCGTTGTAGAGAGGTTTTAATAAAGTCAGTGTATGGATTTTTTGTCCGCTAGGACGAAAAAAAGGGGCCGTTAGAGGAGGTTTAACTGTATTTAAAAGAGTTAGAGGATATACCTCACCCCATGAAACATTTTTACTTCCCCACCATGTCTAATGCCTTAATGGGCGGTTTAATCTCGTAACAACCTGGCCTCTACTGTCCTTTTAACAAAGAAAGGAATAAGGACAGCACGGGAATTTTGCAGAATGCCGAATGGCCGTTGCACACCGAATGAATTCTACGTTTGCAGGAGCCCATTGATGGGCTCCTGAAGAACAACCAGAGGAACATTTGAGAGGCCACGACGATTCAACAATTTATTACATGCACCTTTGTGTTCGTTAATTAACTATAAAAAGCTAACAAAGAATTACGAATAGGGCATAATTCACCCGATTAGTTAAGCATTTTTTTTTTTAACAGTTCAAGTCCATCACAGTGGTCCTGTTCTAAGGTAACAGCGCATGTGAAATCCGTCAATGGCGGGATCACCCATCATGTACTAACTAGAAAAGAAAATCTTAGATTAGTAAAGTTTTTATAGCTGTACTGGCTACAATGCAAGCGCACTGATTGCCAAATTACTGAAGGGATCTCTAAAGAAATGTCACGCATAAAAATAAAAACAAAAGCGCAAAACACGTTGTTCTGCATAATGTTTACGCTGAGGCGAAGTCAAAACTATAGTCACTGAAGAACTCCATCTCAAAACAAACAGGCTTTTGAATGTCTTTCATATCCCTGACTCGCATCTTTTTCTGGAGTAGTTCTTCAGCTGAGCAATACAGACGCAGAACTGAGAACATTTTCATGGCCTTGACTAAAAATACGCAACACACCTTCTGCATTAAATTGTGTTATTTTATGTTTGTATTAGGCTTTTCACTTGGGATTGAAGACGTTTACTTTCTCATGGCGTGAAACCTTTAGGCAACATAGACCTGGGACTTGAAAAAGTTGTTTATACATCAGTGGTTTATAGCATTTCATTTACTTGGCTTTTACTTGTTTCAAAAGTTTGGAATTTATTTTTTCATGTCGGATTTATTGCGTAACAGTGAAAACGATCCACTTACAAGGTGTTAAGACTATGAAAAAAAAAAAAGCGATAGAATCAGAATCATATTGTAACATATTTAGAACATACACTTTACTGTACCTCAGCAGCAACACACAGATCCCGACTGGCACAGATGGCCTAAGTGTTCCAGGCAAATGTGATCGGGACAGGACAAATCCGTCCCTGGACAATTGTCACATCCACCAACACAGCACATCGGTGGTGAAACTGTGAACAGGTGGGATAAAAACTCATTTTAATATAAAATTTTTCAATCTCAGTAAAACGAACGAGTAGCGGCTACTCTCAGTCTGCGGCGTTGGATTCCTATCCCAAGTACAAACCCCTGGCATTTGCAAGACGAAGCAAAAAATTTCGTTCATGCACGTCTACAAGTAGTCTAATATCACTAATTCGTTGCCTATAACAAATAATTTTTAAGCCTTAAAAGCTTCGAAGTTACCGTCTTGGGACTCACAATTTCTCTTTTCTCTGAGCCCCATCTGGGAACCAGAATTTTTTCCGAGTTTCCATTTGATGCAAAAAAAACGTATTATGTTCTACTTCTACAAAAAAGACTCACTTAATAGGACAGTAGTGGGTTCAACAGTTGTTTCATCAAAAACTCTCTTATAGAGAAAGTTGTAGGCCTTCTCTTTTTCCTGTGGGCGACGCAGCCGTGCACTGTGCACAGCTGAGCTAACCAAAACTACCAGCAGCATGCAAATGTAAAACTTGGCAGCCATTGCTTGTAGCTTAGAGAACAGCGTTAAACCTGTTTAAAAGAAAAGGAAATATCTCGGCTTACAATCAAAATCTTGTTACAAGAGAAGAAGAAAGAACTGGGGGCATGAGCTTCAAAATGGATACTAACTAGACTATTTTCTACCAAACTGATAGTTAATTTCGGTTGTAAACAAATCTATGTTTAAAGCACAATTAAGAATTAAGAGTAAACTTCAATTGGATCCCAGCTCCAGTCTCACACCGGGAACTGAACTAATGAAGATCTACTTGGTTGTTTCCCTTTCATTCCTTCACTATTGACATAAATTTCGCTTGTAAACAAATCTATGTTTAGGAAACAAACTGTACCTTGTAAGACGTAATTAAGGTGCTTAAAACGTTTGTTGGATCACAGCTCTGTCCTGAACTGATAAAGATACACTCAGTTGTGTCGCTTTTATTCCTTCCTTATCGACAGTGGTTCCGCCTACGTCCGGGGCCCACGTTTTCGTTATGAAAATAGCCCGCACTGAATTAGAGCTGCTCTTTGACATATTTCAATCACAATAGTGGATAGGTTCGAGTTATCGGGAGTTCGAGTTAATGGGAGTTCGAAGAAAATAGCCGAGAGTAAGGTAAAAAACAGTTTTTACTACACAGTGAACATTTTAATCACATTTAATTGTAGAAATGTCAAGTGAAAATTAAAAGATACTTTTAGATTATAAATCAGAACGTAACGTAACAAAACATAGCCTAAATAGAGTATGCTTTTTTCTGTTTTGAGAAGAAAAGCTGCTTCACGTTAGCCTGTGACAATCTACATCAGCCTCCACTAGTAAACTATACTCCTACAACATTTCAATAGGAAATCCAAAATTTAATGTTTCGGACGCCAGTAAACGGCTTTTTTCCCGACTTTTTAAAAGCTCAAAACATGGTTCGATTTATCGGGGGTAAAATTATATAGAAAATGACCTGAGGGGAAACGAAAATTGGTTCGAGTTAGCGGGAGTTCGAGTTACCGAGGGTAAAATTACAGTGAATGTACGACGGAAATCCAGGGGAAATCGATTTTGGTTCGAGTTAGCGAGGGTTCGAGTTATCGGGAGTCGACTGTATATGTCTCCTGGTGATACCTAATAAATGACCGGGTTTGGCTTTTAATACACAGTTCCTATTTTTTCCCGTTACTGACGGTGCCTACAAAGAAAAAACAAAACTGCCTGTCTCATCAGCTTATGTTTTATCATAAGAAATGTAAGACAGTAGCCGGATCAAAGCATTATGACAAATTTACGCCTACTGATGCGCAAAACACAATGGGTAGGAAGCTTATGCTTGTACACCTGAAACTGATGATTGCAGGTAGCACAGACCAATTATACTGAGAGAGCCTTTGTCCGTCTCAGCCGCAAATTTAAAATATCTATTAATTAAATTACGTCAAATATATAACTAGTGAAGAAAAGCATACGCTCCAAAGCATAGTAAGTCAGTCGACAAGTGCCTCAAGACATGAAAAATATTGGATTTTTTTCAGCAAACAACAGTTCCACCAAAATAAAACTAGTTACGTCCAAAAACGCTCTTGTTGGGCTTCAAGAATGAATATTGTGCTTAAATTACAAAATCAGTTCAGTTCTACCAGAACATAGCCAGTTAGTAAAAAGTTGCGGCGTAAAGTCGAAGTTATAGGAAACGCCATGCTATAGGTTACAGCATAACCACTTAGGTTTGTTTTCTAAAAGTCAAGAAAACTATTTTCAGCCTCTTTAATATCATCACTATTAAAAAATAAATTTGTTTTTTAGGTCGGTTCAGAAATCAAAAGTTCCACCATATCTCAAATATCTTTTGTTAAGGGACAAAGGATGGTGTGTTTACAAGCTATCAGAACAGCTGGACACACTTTAAATTTTACTAGCAAACCTTTGTTGGTCAGCTAAGTCCTTTGCTAAAGATGGGTTTGCACTGACCCTTTTTGGTGCTGGGATCAATCAAAAATAGAAGTTGGACGTACGGTTAATTGTGGGAAATATCATAAGTATAGTTTCAGTCTTTCACAACTAAAGGTTAACTGAGGTTAAGAAACACCTCTTCAAGCTTATTTTAGAAACACAGAAGCAAGTTCAAAAGATAGAAATTACTACTTCTCTTAGTAGATGTATTCAGCTGTGGAATGGGAAAATAAGCGTTTCCTGTTAACGAAGTTCGTTTATTTAAACCTGAAGTTAGATCTCACTTTTGCTTCCAAACTTGAATCATAATCAGATTTCCTTATCTCATTAAAATCTTGTTGGGGCCACGTTACCTAACAACTTTTTAGTCTTTTGTTCTCAGTTGGGCTATTTTCAGCTAAAATTCACTTACTTTCTTACTTTCAAACTAAATTTCTTTCGACAGAATCTTAAGAAAATTTGCTTTCTTTCAAACCGTTGTTTTACCTTCTTGTATGGGAATTTGGCTATAGAGATATTTCTTACGTGCTTTGCAAATTTCTTCCACGCGAAGTTGGAA